TATAGGACTAGCAGATAATTGTATAGAACTTAAAATCACCGTTGGCCGGTCTTGGTGGCTCAGCCTGTAATCCCAGTGCTTTGGAAGCCCAAAGTGAGTGGATTGCTTGAGCCCGAGGGTTCGAGACCCACCCGGGCAACTTGGTGAGACCTCATCTCTACAATAAATCAAAAAAATTAGCCGGGCGTGGTAGTGCATGCCTGTAGTTCCAGCTACTTGGAAAGCTGAGGCGGAAGGATCACCAGACTCCAGCAAGTCAAGGCTGCGGTGACCGGGAGCATGCCACTGCACTCCAGTCTGGGTGACAAAGTATGACTCCAACTCAAAAAAAAAAAAAAAAAAAATCACAGTCACATTTTGTCAGTAATGACATTTATGGTCAACATTTCTGGGAGCCAGTTACCAGAGGTATCGCATAGCTTTTATAAGTAACACCTGGCAGAGGTGTTAATCAAGCTTGCCATAAAGCAAAGGCAGTTAAGGCCTAAGACATCACACATTACTACATGTTGTTATATGCAAAAGTTATCCAAATCACAAGACTTACGATTTCCTTGATACTATATGATTCAAACCTGTGACTAAGAAAAGGAAGAAAATGGAAATTTACATCTCTCAGTTAATTGGGCACAATCTTCAGGGAAGTTAAAGATTCTTTGAGGACATTTATTGGGAGTGCAGAGGAAATACAAAGAAGCTCCCCTCTTAACTCTCAGGAATGTGGATACATGCAGGAGCACTCGAACCCTTGCTATGCCCTCCTCTAGAGGTTGTGGCATATGCACAGACAAGAACAGGTCTCCCTACCATCTTGACTCCCTCCTCCCAAAGCAGGAGGGTTCCACTGTCAGGCTTTAAGATTACACTGTAAGATGTTTTAAGATAGTTGGGCACAGTGACTTCATGCCTGCAATCCCAGCACTTTGGGAGGCTGAGGCAAGAGAATCACCTGAGTCCAGGGGTTCAAGACCAGCCTGGACAACTTGGCAAATAAAAAAATTAGTTGGGCGTGGTGGCACACACCTGTAGTTCCAGCTACATCCCCATGCACAAAAATTAACTCCAAATGGATCAGAGACCTAAATGTAAAACCTCAAATCATAAGAACCTTAGAAAATGAAGAACATACCCTCATGGAAATTGGAACTGGCATCCAATTCCTGAACAAAACCCATAAGAGATAAGATAGACAAGTGGGACCTCATTAAACTGACAAGCTTCTGCAAAGCCAAAGAAACCATCAAGAGAGCAGGAAGACAGCCTACAGACTGGGAAAAAGCATTTGCCAACTCCAGGTCTGACAAGGGTTTAACATCTTGGATCTACAAGGAACTCAAACGTGCTGAAAAGAAAAAAACAAACAACCCCATTATAAAATGGGCAAAAGATATGAACAGACACTTCTTAAAGGAAGACATCTGAGCAGCCAACAGACACGTGAAGAAATGTTCAACCTCACTAATCATCAGGGAGATGCAAATCAAAACCACACTGAGATACCACCTAACTCCAGTCAGAATGGCAATTATCAATAACTCAAAAATTAACAGTTGCTGGAGAGGGTATGGCAAAAAGGGAACATTTCTACACTGTTGGTGGGAGTGTAAACTAGTGCAACCTCTGTGAAAAGCAGTGTGGCGTTTCCTAAAAGCTCTAAATATCCATCCAACGTATTACCATAAGAAAATGACTGATAGTGGTGGGAAACTATGGGGGGGAGGAAGGGGAAGGGAGATGGGATTAATGGTAGTAAACATCTGTCTGGGGTCGGGGAGACACCCTTTTATCAACAAGGGTGCCTGAACGGAGCATATTTGTATACCTAACCCTTAAATGTACCCCACAATATCAATAAAAAATATCGATTATAAATAAAAAAAAATTTTTTTTAAACATTTTTATGTTATTATTTTTAAAGAAGAGATGGGGTAGCCAGGTACAGTGACTCACATCTGTGATCCCAGCACTTTGGGAGGCAGGGGCAAGAGGACTGCCTGAGCCCAGGGGTTCAACAGCAGCCTGGGCAACTAGGCGAGACTTTGTCTCTACAATAAATCAAAAAATTAGCCGGGTGTGGAGATGCACATCCACTACTTGGAAGGCTGAGGTGGAAGGATCGCCTGAGCCCAGCAGGTCAAGGCTGCAGTGGCCATGATCATGCCGCTGAACTCCAGCCTGGGTGAAAAGCGTGAGACTCAACTCAAAAAGAAAAACGATCCTACGTGTTAGGGATTACCACCCATTTGGGAGTGTATAGTTTCCTGAGACTGTAACAAATAACCACAAACCTAGTGGCTTAAAACAACAGGAATTCATTCCCTCACAGTTTTGGAGGGCAGAAGCCTGAAATCAAGGTGCTAGCAGTGCCTCATGCCCTATACAGGTTCTGAGGGAGAAACTTGCTTTGCCTCTTTTAGCATCTGGTGGTTGTTGACATTCCTTGACTTGTGGTCACAGCACTCCAGTCTCTGGTTCCATCGTTTTTTGAATCAGAGTCTCACTCTGTCACCCAGGCTGACATGCAGTGGCATAATCCTGGCTCGCCGCAGCCTCTGACTTCTGGGCTCAGGAAATCCTTCCAATCCTCAGTCTCCCAATAGCTGGGACTACAGGCACAAGCCAGCATGCCCAGCTAGTTGCAAATTTTTTTTTGTAGAGACAGGGTCTCACTATGTTGCCTAGGCTTGTCTCGAACTCCTAATCCTAAACAATCCTCCCTCCTCAGCCTACCAAAGTTCTGGGATTACAGGCATGAGCCACTGTGACCAGGCTTTTTTTTTTAAAAAAAAAAAGAGAGA